TCTCCAGTGGCAGTATGGGCCATGGACATTATCAACACAGTCCCCAGTGGCAACCCAACTCACAGATGCCAATATGGCTTCAGGTGGCAGCACAGACCATGGACATCTGCATGGCCTTCTGTAGTTATATGGGCCATAGAGAGGTCATAGCCATCAACTTGGCCCCTGGCTGCAACAGGATCATGGATCGCAACATGGCCCTCATAGATGGCATGGACCATGGACATCAACAGGGTCCCCAACAGCAGTGCAGCCCATGGACATCTGCATGGACTTCCGTGGTAACATGGGCCACGGACATCAACCTAGCCCCTGGCTGGAACAGGACCAAGGACCCAGACATGACCTCTGGTGCACAAAGATCTATTAAAAAAAAATGACAAATTCCTTCTTCTTCCATTACTACTGTCACAATTTTGTATTAATCATACGTATTCATTTTGGTTACTTCAATAATCCAATTCTACCTGTTTTACGTCTTCCTGATCTCTGCTACTTCTGTACATGCTGCCCTTCAAATTTCCTGTGTAACTTTAGTGTTATCCTTCAATGTTGACCCAATATATGTTTGAGGATGAAAGAGTAATTGTGTAAATCTAGAGAAGACATTAACCTCCCCAAAACATTTTTCTTTGTTATTTTTCTTTTTCCTTTTCTTATTTAAACTTTATTTCTTATGTCAATTTTAATTCTCAGATTTTTTTATTTAGATGCATTTTTGTTTGTTTGGTTTTTGGTTTTTGGTTTTTGGTTTTTTGAGACAGGGTTTCTCTGTGTAGCTTTGCACCTTTCCTGGAACTCCCTTTGTAGACCAGGCTGGCCTTGAACTCACAGAGATCCACCTGCCTCTGCCTCCCGAGTGCTGGGATTAAAGGCATGCGCCACCACTGCCCAGCTAGATGCATTTTTAATAAACATGATCTTAGGGAAAAAAGCCTGGCACAATTAAATATTCCTTTAATGCTGCTCTTGCCATTAGTAAACAATGTCTGGAACATACTACCATACTAGCATATTTTTTCAGTAAGTGAGGTAAACTACCATTAATCTCAGAATTCAGTTCTTCTATGTAAAATTGGAGCCCTCTGCAAGTCGGAGCAGACTACTGTTCTTCAGCGAAACGGAAGACTTTTATCAGCAGAGAAGAGGAGACGCCAAAGAGAAAAACCAACCAACCATGTGACTGGTCTGAAAAGAATCAACCCTTTAAAGCTGGAGAATTCTTTTTGTTTGTTTTGTTTTTCATGTGATTTTTTTTTAATGTAAGGTTTTGTTTCTAAATTTTTCTTTATACATCCAAGAAGAAAACAAAAGTGGGAACTATTTAAGAACTACAGTGAAGGGAACCACTTTCCAAATGAGAGAATAGTTGCCTTTAGCTAACATCAGAATACATGGACATGTTATGCTACCACATAACTCCAATACTCTTCTTAATTAATAACAAATTATTTTTATTATTGCTGCATTATTTCTGTATTGTATTATTTTTTTCTCTAGTCAACATCTTATGTATGAACATAAGACAATGTTCTAGAAAGATAGCTAGCATCCAACTACTTTGCTTGGGAGGGTTCATGATCGACATGACCATGCACAGTGATGCCTTACCCTGAACAACACACTAGAGCACATCTGTAAGGATACAGTACAAATAAGAATTGTAGTGATGCCACAGGGGAAGTAGATCCAGAGGCTCAATTGTGACATTGAGGACACAGGTGCCTTCACTGTTCCATCCTACCGTCCACACTGTTCACTTTATCCTACAGTTGGAAATGCATTGGTTTTCCTGAATGTTCTCAGTAAAAATAAAGACTGGGTATTTTCTGGTTTGTGTTCACTAGAAAAGAGATAGTACCTTCTCCCCAATGCTCAGAAGATATGCTTTCTTTTGGACTAATGGAGATAATTTAGTTTATGTGCTTATCCATAAATTAATAATTACTACCAAAGGAAGGGATAGACTGGCTCAGGCTTCGACTTCCGGACCATCATTTTCAAGTGAAAGGAGACACCCCGTGCTTTGTTTGCACTAAGCGGGTACTAAGCAAGAGCCCCCAACCCATAGTGCAAACCACAATGGCAGAAGAAAGACTCATCAGAGTACTTTTGAAATAACACCGGCGGATGCCAAGAGCGATCTGGAGAGTACACAGCAATCACAACTGAGAACCATCCTGGTGGCTGCTTTCAAAACTTCAATCTTCCAGATGAGAAGGCGCCTTAGACATACTGTTCAAAGTTTTCCTCTAATTGCAGTCTTCGAAGATGAAATCCCCTCTCCTCCTCACAGAAATCTTCAGTTGACAGCCTTCATGACTATTTAGCAGGAGAAACATCAGATCGGCACGAGCCTTCCCTCGCTCTTGGATGCCTTCAGAAAGTTGTAGCAAATTATCTTCCTTTTGTGTTTCAGCAGTTCTGTTTGTGGGCTTCTTTTTTTTTTTAATCCTAAACTGATCATTATGGATAAACATAAAATCTCTAAATAGATTTTCCTAGTCGGTTAACCATATTCTTGAGGGAAAACATAAGGTAGAATCATTATTAAAAAGCATTCTTAGTAATACACACATCTTTATTATGTCAGTCTTTTGCCAAAAAAAAAGCACAAGATTGATAGTAAAATCCACTTAATTTTTTTCTTCACAGAACCCAGCCATCTGCCTCAAAATACACCAGCAGCCTCTTTTAGATGAATTCACACATTTTAAAGCCCCGGAGTAACCATTTGAATGGAAATTGGACACTTCTTGTCATTTAGGAAGCCTTTTTAAACTGGAAAGGCTTCTCATTTGTTCAATTAAATGTGTGTGTATGCAATACACTTTATGAAATTTATCCCAAAACGGCGAAGGCTGAAATAATATTTGAAACAGATGGTAGAGCGGCTGTAGCGCCAAGCTTCCTATGGACCTAGATGGAGACATTGAGGAAAGTATGAAGTGCAAGACAAAACATTGCACCATCAAGGATCTCAGCCACAGCCATAAGAGATGGGAAGGTGTTTATTGTCAACTCCTCCCCAAATGGAGGTGTAGGCAAAAACTTGGCAAGTGGATTCTATACTCCACTCTGGAGGAGCTCTTTTCTTCTCAATTGAGCCTTCAGTGTTGAAAATGCTACATCTGTGGCCTAGGAAATTCCTCTTTCTTGAATACTATTTGAAAATGATGCTGAACATAGTGTTCCCGGGGGAACATAAGCCAGTGTGTGAGCACAGCACAGCAAAGCAAGTTAAGGCATTTAGAACTGGGAAGCAGGGCCGGGGAGGCCAGCAAGGCTGTTTCTCAATTGCCCTAAGATGGTAGGTGAAGAGACGGAAGCCAAGGAAGGTTAAGCAGCCCCATTTCCATCCCACAGAACTGGTCTCCAGAGACACCCCTCCCCCCAGGCCTCTTCCTCCTTCTGTTTACTAACAGAAAGAAAAAGTTTTGATTCCATGTTACTTTATTTCATTTCCTTCCATTTCATGTTAAAGAAGAGGATCTAGTCTTCACAAAGTTGCTACTTTTATAAGGCAGATTTAGAAGGAAAATGTAGTATAAAAATTTTTTTCTTAAAGTTGCTCTAATTTGGAAATATTTCATAAAATGAAAGTGTATATGCCCTCATATTCTGTGTCTGTATACATGTGTTTACATTGATAGGATCTGTGACTGGTTATTTTACATTAAATACACAGATACAATTTGTGGTACATTTTAAAACAGCTAAGAGCTACATACCTCAATTAAATCAAACAAAAGTTCAAATACATAATTCTTGAATTCTTCAATATGAGAAATGCACCTGAGTACACACACACACACACACACACACACACACACACACACACACACACACACAGTCATACATGCACAGCATGCAGTGTTTCAGAGTTCATAGCAACGTGCTTTTAAAGACAGCTGTGTCTGGGCTTTGAAGGTTCACACATTTCCTTCTCACTTGAGGTCTTGTAAACATGGGTGTTGAAAGCAAACGCTGTTAATTTATTCCAGGGTTATCCCTGAGCTACTGTAAATGACAGAACTCAGCCATCACATTCGGGTTCCACGTGCTTGTGCACGGAAAAGAAATTGATAAAAGCCATAATAAGAAAAGCAGCAAATGACTAAGTTTCTCCATCATCTTCTCTGCAGCAGCAGCCGCTAATGAAAGTGTGTCCATCTTCAGAGGCGTGCTTCCCCATGTGAGCATCCTTTGGGAGGCACCCACTAAAGAGAGCAAATTGATTTTCTAAAGAATACTTAGTTATTCCACGGGTGGAAGAGTATCACAGTCTGACACACGAACCTCCTACCAATTTATAATCCCGGTCCGTACACCAAGAACAAAGGAAGAATTGGAGCAGCTGCAGGTCGCCTCAGCAGAGAGTCCACTTAGGTCTGAACGACCCCCGAATTGGTTGGTTTACCGCCTTTGTTTAACTGGTTATTTCAATTTGACTACAGGAGATAACCCAGCTCTTGTTCCTGTGTTCAGCCAGGAGTAGTTCCTGAGAAACATGGACCGTTATAACTCAACACTTGAGCCAAATCTCAGCTGGAAGCTTGACAGGAAAAGATTCCAATTTTTGTGTTTCTCTTTATACTTAGAGAAAACAAAGAAATTGCCCCAGTATCAATAGAAATTCCAGCCCACATTTTTTCATTACATCATCTCTTTGACAAGTTTCTGTAAAGAACTTTAAAAAATCGGAAAAGCTCCAACCCATTGATCTTAGAATTTCTTTTAAGTTACTGACATTTCCTTTCTCACATAGTAAGTGGTGAAAGCTAGTCAACACTTAAAGTGTTTCTTTTTCTTTGATGTGATCTCATACTTGAAAAACAAATTCTCACTGAAATTCATTTCTATAAAGTTCTACATCGGGATGTATGAGTCACCCATACAAACACATACACATTCACTCACATACCCCATTAACTGCAGAAAACAGAGAAAAGAACCCAATTTTTAAAAAAAAAGTCAGTACAGCACAACTGGGCTTCAATCATGTTTATCATTTTATTTTTGTTTTTCATAGTGGAATTTCTGCCTGGGACAACATGATCATTCATTCATGGAATAAAGTTCCTTCTGATCGGCCAGGACTTCCTAAAGTGAGAGCCATCTGAGCTCCAAACCACACAGAGGCATTTGCAGCTGCATCTGAAAAGGAAGGTTTGGGTGTTAAATTCCACAGCCTTGTTTAAATAATCTTAAGACAAAAATAGCCCGGCGGTGGTGGCGCACGCCTTTAATCCCAGCACTCAGGAGGCAGAGCCAGGCGGATCTCTGTGAGTTCGAGGCCAGCCTGGACTACCAAGTGAGTTCCAGGAAAGGCGCAAAGCTACACAGAGAAACCCTGTCTCGAAAAACAAAAAAAAAAAAAACAAAAAAAAAAAATATATAAACCCTGAGAAACCAGAAGTAGCTAGATAAATGGGTTTTAACAAAAAGAACTATATAAGAAACAAGGAGGGAAACCTTTATCTGTACTCTAAAGAAAGAACTGGGAGGCTGGCGGGAAGAGCATCCATTTGTAACCTGTTTGATCATAGGAGGAAGAGAAAGCACCATAATAAGTAACAAAATGCTATCAAATAATATGATAGTATATGTAATGGACCAAAAAATTCCACCAGGAAACTCCTACAGCTGATAAAAACACTTTCAGCAAAGTAGCTGGATACAAGATTAACTCACAAAACTACCTAGCCCTCCTAAATACACAGGACAAATGAACTGATAAAAAAATCAAGAAAAAGACACATTTCACAATGACCTCCAATAATATATAATATCTTGGGGTAATTCTAACCACGCAACTGAAAGACTTATATGATAAAAACTTCAAGTCTTTACAGAAAGAAATTGAAGAAGATATCAGAAGACGACAAGATTTTCCATGTCCATAGAGGGTTAGGATTAATATAGTAAAATTGATCATCCTATCAAAAACAATTCAATGAAATCCTCATTAAAATTCCAACACAATTCTTCACAGATCTTGAAAGGGCAATTCTCAGCTTCATATGGAAACACAAACATCTCAGGATAGTTTTTAAAATTCTTAATAATAAAAGAACTGCTGGAGGTATCACCATCCCTTACCTCAAATTGTACTACAGAGCTATAGTAATAAAAATAGCATGATATTGACACAAAAGCATACATGTTGATCAATGGAATTGAATTGAAGACCCAGACATAAATACTCACATCAATGGCCCACCTGATTTTTCATAAAGAAGTCACAAATACATGCTAGAAAAAAAGACAACATTTTCAGCAAATGGTGCTACTCAAACTGAAAGACTGCATGTAAAAGAATTCAAATAGATCAATATCTATCACCCTACATAACATTCAACTCCAAGTGGATCAAAGACCTCAACACAAAGCCAGATTCATTGAACCTCATAGAAGAGAAAGTGGGGAATAGCCTTAAATGCATTGGCACAGGAAAAGATTTTCTGAACGAAAGACTATTATTAGCACAGGCACTAAGATCAACAATTAATAAATGGGACCTCATGAAACTGAAAAGCTTCTATGTGGCAAAGGACACCATAATTCAGAAAAAAAAAAACAGAAGGCTATAGAATGGGGAAAGAGTTTTACAAACTACACATCCAATAGAGGACTAATATCCAAAATCTATTAAAAAAACTCAAAAACTTAGATATCAAGAAAACAAATTACCCAATTTTTTTGGTACAGATCTAAACACAGAATTCTCAAAAGAGGGAACTCAAATGGCTGAGACAAACTTTAAAAAAAAATGTTAACATCCTTAGCCAGCAAGGAAATGCAAAGCAAAACTTTGAGATTTCATCTTCTATCTGTCGGAATGGCTAAGATCAACAAAACAAGGGACAGATCACGCTAATGATGATGTGGAACAAGGGGAACACTCATCCAACCCTGGTGGGAATGCAAGCTTGTACAACTACTAAGGAAATCAGTGTGGCAGATGGGAATCAATCTATATCAAGATAGAGCTATACCACTCTTATGTATATACCCAAAGGACACTTCATGCTACTGCAGAGACACTTGCTCAACCATGTTCATTGTTACTTTAGTCACAATAGTCAGAAATTGGAAACCTCGCTGTCCCTCAACAAAAGAATGGATAAAGAAAATACACAATGGACTATTACTCAACTGTAGCTGGAGTTTTCCTGCCTGGCCCACAGTCAGGGCAAATCTCTCTCACCCGCCAGTCCCAAGCCGCTCAAACCCGATCAAGTAAACACAGAGACTTATATTGGTTACAAACTGTATGGCCGTGGCAGGCTTCTTGCTAACTGTTCTTACAGCTTAAATTAATCCATTTCTATTAATCTATACCTTGCCACGTGGCTTGTGGCTTACCAGTACTTTACATCTTCCTTGTCCTGATGGCGGCTGGCAGTGTCTCCCCTCCCAGCTTCCTGTTCTCTCAATTTTCCTCTCTGTTAGTCCCGCCTATACTTCCTGCCTGGCCACTGCCAATCAGTGATTTATTCATTGACCAATCAGCAACACATTTGACATACAGACCATCCCACAACACCTCCCCTTTTCTTTTCTTAAAAAGGAAGGTTTTAACCTTTACACATCTCCAAAGTCAGCTTGGTATATTTGGGAATTTGGGCGTAGCTTCTCTTACTACTTCCTGCTGGAGGGGGGCGCTGTATCTTTTGGGGAAACAAAGAAAATTTTAGGATCATGGAGTAGTCCGTGAGGCTGTATCATCTGAGCCAGTTGTCTTGAAACGGTTCTGGATGTTGGATCATCTGGGCCATGGTGTCATCGGAGACCTTTCAGGGGGTCTTGGCTGGTCAAACCTGATGTATCTTACTCTGGAACAAATCCATAGCCTCTTGCTTTCTGTGGAAACAAAAGAGACTCTTTTCCAAAGCAACATATCCTTACATCCAAATTTTGAAGTCAAAGTATCTTTAAAATATACATACTGGTTTAACTCAGCTTCCTTTACAATCAAATATCTCTCTGTAGTTAAGAATCCCAAAGACAACACAATCCAGACTCTCTGTGTAATAGTCATCTCTACGTGGCTTATTTTTTATATTAATTTTACTGTCTCTTTAAAGACTTTATTTTTTTTTAAAACCATGTATTTGTTTCTATATTGTATATATCACCTTTTTTTTTGTCTCTTTTAAGCCTACATATATTTTACACACATTTTAAACTATTACATCTGAATCTGTCTTATTATGAATCTGTTGCTTTAAACTGCAGCAGCTGTGGCTGCTGGCTCCGCCCACCTCAGCTTCCCAACATGGCGGCAGTATGCTTACCGCCAGCTCTGGGAGCTATCGTGGGTCTATGCTTTTATCCAAGCAGCATATAGCTCAGAAACCTCTTTTTTTGTTTTGTACTAGCAAAGGCTAAATCCACAATGCAGCTTAATGTGCCATTTGCAGAGACTTCATTCCCGCCATACTGCAGGTCGAGCGCGCACGCCAGCAACCCGCCAGTAGCTCAAACCGGCCGCTGCCGCTCATTTGAGAGAGACAATTAGGAACTGTTTTTAGCTCCGTTTTAGAATCTTTTTTCTCAGGTTTTAGGTGGAAACTCTTGCCACCACGTTGGACGCCATTTGTAGCTGGAGTTTTCCTGCCTGGCCCACAGTCAGGGCAAATCTCTCTCACCCGCCAGTCCCAAGCCGCTCAAACCCGATCAAGTAAACACAGAGACTTATATTGGTTACAAACTGTATGGCCGTGGCAGGCTTCTTGCTAACTGTTCTTACAGCTTAAATTAATCCATTTCTATTAATCTATACCTTGCCACGTGGCTTGTGGCTTACCGGTACTTTACATCTTCCTTGTCCTGATGGCGGCTGGCAGTGTCTCCCCTCCCAGCTTCCTGTTCTCTCAATTTTCCTCTCTGTTAGTCCCGCCTATACTTCCTGCCTGGCCACTGCCAATCAGTGATTTATTCATTGACCAATCAGCAACACATTTGACATACAGACCATCCCACAACACTCAACCATTTTTAAAAAATGAAATTTGCAAGTAAATGCATAGAATTAGAAAAAAATCACCCTGAGTGATGTAACCCAGATCCAGAAAGATAAATATGGTATGTATCCACTTATATGTGGGTATTAGCTGTTAAGTCAATGATAAGTAAACTATAACCCATAGAACCATAGAGGTTAAGTATAGAGTAAGCGATTAAGGAGGACAGATAGGACTTGTTAGAAAACAGAAATAGAAAAAGTAGTTCTGGATGGATGGAGGAAATGGGAGGACTAAGTGCGGAGGGGAGGGGAGATGCGCACAAGTGATGGAATACAGGGAGAGACAGCTAGAGTTAAGAGCTATTTGAGCCATTTGAGGTATAATGTGGAAACCTAGTACAGCTTCCTAAAATATATACATATATGAAGGCAATCTAAATAAATTCACCAAATAAGGCAGGAGACAGAGCCCCTGCTGTAGAATATAATGCTTGTTTAACTATGTAAAGATATGTTGCATTTGTTTGTGTTGAAGAATAATTGTTTAGCTATGTAAAGATGTGTGGAGGTCCACAGAGGTTTCCTAGTAAGATCTGAGCTTGCTTTACCCAGCAGGGCTGCATTAGAAGATGTCTTGACCATGTGCATGGTTACCAGGTGATTAGAAGGGTCTGCACTTGGCTGAGCTAGAGGGAGGTCTTTTGCTTCTCCCCTTAGCAATCCTATAAAAAGCCTTTTTGAAGGGACAGAAGAGGCTGGTGGATATTGATCCAGGCCCTCCCAAAGCTATCCTGTTTCTGTCTGTTTTCTCTGCCCTCTATCTTTCTATCTAAATATTTCTCATCCCTCTCTCCTCAAGAGTACCCTGGGGAAAAAGTGGGGGTGGGTCTCTCACAAAGATGTGTTGCTATTTCACCTTGCCTGCCTAAGGCACCTGATTGGTCTAATAAAAAGCTGAACAACCAATAGCTAGGCAGACGAAGGATAGGTGGGGCTGGTGGGCAGAGAGAAAAGAGAAGCCAGCCAGCCAGCCAGCCAGGAGCCAACCCACCAGAGGTCAGTCAGCCAGGGGACAGCCAGCCAGATGCAGAGGAAGCAGGAAAGTAGGACATACAGAATGAAAGAGAGGTAAAAAGACCTGAGGCAAAATTTAGATGAATAGAAACAGGTTAAATTAAGTTTAAAA